TGCGATCTGCGAAACCGTCGCCACGTTCGAGGGCTGCTGGTGGGTCCAGCGAAGTGAGGCACCGCGCAGATCTGAGCAGAACCTCACCGTCCCTGGGGGCTGCGATCTGCGAAACGATCGCCACGTTCGAGGGCTGCTGGTGGGTCCAGCGGAGTGAGGCACCGCGCAGATCTGAGCGGGACCTCGCCGTCCCTGGGGGGCTGCGATCTGCAAAACTGTCGCCGCTTTCGAGGGCTGTTTGGTGGGCCAGCATAGCGATCTGCGAAATTGTCACCACTTTCGAGGGCTGCTGGTGGGTCCTGCGGTTAAAGGCATCGCCCAGATCTGAGCGAGACCTCGCCGTCCCTGAGATGCTGCGATCTGCGAAACCGTCGCCACTTTCGAGGGCTGCTGGTGGATCCAGCGGAGTGAGGCACCGTGCAGATCTGAGCGGGACCTCGCCGTCCCTGGGGGGCTGCGATCTGCGAAACCGTCGCCACTTTCGAGGGCTGCTTGGGGGGCCAGCATAGCGATCTGCGAAACTGTCGACACTTTCGAGGGCTGCTGGTGGGTCCTGCGGAGTGAGGCACCGTGCAGATCTGAGCGGGACCTCGCCGTCCTTGGGGGGCTGCGATCTGCGAAACCGTCGCCACTTTCGAGGGCTGCTTGGGCGGCCAGCATAGCGATCTGCGAAACTGTCGCCACTTTCGAGGGCTGTTGGTGGGTCCAGCGGAGTGAGGCACCGCGCAGATCTGAGCAGAACCTCACCGTCCCTGGGGGCTGCGATCTGCGAAACGATCGCCACGTTCGAGGGCTGCTGGTGGGTCCAGCGGAGTGAGGCACCGTGCAGATCTGAGCAGAACCTCACCGTCCCTGGGGGGCTGCGATCTGCCAAACCGTCGCCACTTTCGAAGGCTGGTGGCGGGTCCAGCGGAGTGAGGCACCACGCAGATCCGAGCGGGACCTCGCAATCCTTGGGGGGCTGCGAGCCTCACGAATGCCGCTCGCAGAAGTATATGCGCCCATGTCACGTCATCACCTCCGTACAACGTCTCCCAAGCTACTCATGCCCCGCATTGCGCAGGGGTTGGATACGTCGCCTGGTAATTTTGTCGCTATACGTCGGATCTCAGGGATGGTGGTTCGAGGTCTTGTAGCGTTGTCGCCAGTTCCGAGATTTTCCAGCCTCGGGCAGGCAGGGTGCAGACATCACGACGGACAGTTCTGGGCTACTTGGGGCGCCTGGAGGCCCTCGTCGAGCCTCGGGACCGGCGAAAAGCGAGGGCCCCCCCCCGGAGGCCGAAAATGGCGAGAAACCTCCCGTCGTGAGTTTTTCACACCGCGAGGGGGCCTGGGCTGTTTTCAGGAGGGGAAAGAACACACAGACACAATGAATCGTCGACCCCCAGGAAAAAAGGGAAACTATGGGGAGTGGGGGGGAGGCAAAAACACATACAGTAACACATGATACCGGAGAAAAAACCCAATCAGGGCTATAGGACTTGGGCTATTGGGTTATTGAGCTATAGGGCTCTATAGAGCTATAGGGCTATAGAGTTGTAGGGCTATAGGGCTATTGGGCTATAGGGCTATAGGGCACCCCCGGGCACGCCCGGGCACCTGGGCACCCCCGGGCACCCCCCGGGCACCCGGGCGGGCACCCCCGCGGCACCGCCGGGCACGCCCGGGCACCCGGGCTCACGGGCACCCTGGAAGACGGCGTCCAAATAATTTAACGCGCGGCGTGTCTAAGGCGTTCTCGCTGCAGCGGGGGCTTACTTTCAGCGAATCGGGCTTGGTTTAGACACCCGCGTGTCTATCGCATTCTCGTGCAGGCCCGGTGCCCGAGTGTCTAAATAGTGTCTAAATACGACCGTGTCTAAAAAGTCTTTCAGCGTCTAACCGAAAGTGTCTAAATCGTGTCTAAATCGTGTATACATGTGTGCACCACCATGGCTAAATCAATGAAAATCGTGTCTAAAGTATGTACAACGTCGTGTCTAACAAATTCTAAATAAACGCTTCGCGTATCACCACCAGCCCATCCAGAAACGATGTCCAGGCGAGTTGAGGTCATCAGGGAAGTGCGGGAGCAAAGAGGGGGACAGCCGAACCGTGCGAAGGAGGGAGGAGGAGAAGGAGGATGCTGGATGGACGGACGAGGGAGGGAGGAGAAGGAAGATGAATGAGATGATTGGGAGAAAGATGATTGGGATGAGGGGGAGGCACAAGGGCCAGAGGTCTTTTGGATGCCCCTCGGAACCCCTTGGGATATCTCTTGGGCGCTTCTTGGAGGCCTCTTGGGACGTTTTGGGGGTCTATTGGCGGTTCTCGGGGGCTCTTGGGCGTCTTGGGTGCCTCGGAAGGGGGCGCTTGGGGTCCTCTTGGAGGCCTCCTGGGGGCCTCTTGAAGGCCTCTTGGGGCAATATTGGGGCCTCCTGGGCGCCTCTTGGGGCCATCTTGGAGGACATCGATCAATAAAAACAAAGAGGGGTTCTTTAATTCCCCCCCCCCGTGGGGCGCTCTCGGAGCGCTCTTGGGCGCTCTTGGGGCCATTGAGCATCGAGCGCCGGATTTCGAGGAGGAGGACCGAAGAGGAGGAGGAGGAGGAGGAGGAGGAGGAGGAGGAGGAGGAGGCGGAAGAGGATCGAGGAGGAGGAGGACCGAAGAAAAGGATCGACAATCGAGGAGCATCGAGGGGGATGAAGAGGATCGAGGAGAAATGTGGGATCGAGGATCTAGGAAGAATATCGAAAAGGATGATCTCGAATTCGAGGGTCGAGGAGGAGGTTGAGGATCGAGGAAGAGGACAATGAGTATCGAGGGTCGAGAATTGAGGATAACCGAGGAGGACGATCGAGGATCGAGGATGAGGATAGAGGAGGAGCCTGGCTCATCATCGATTCGCCATTTCATGATCGAACACATCAGTATTAGGGCGCGTTGGTGGGTTTATTGCGAAGGCGTTACGGCCGGTGCCGCCGACCCTGGAAGCATATTCCCAAGTGCGTGAAGCAAAGGGCTATCGGGGGCCTCTTGAAAGCATTGTGGAGGCCCTTTGGGGCTTCTTGGGGACGTCTTCGCGAGCTCATGGGTCTTTGGGGGGACCTCCTTGAGGGCTTGCTGACGATCTCGACGGCTCGGTTTTGGGGAACGGCTCGAGATTCCGATTCGCCTTTTCTTTTGGAGCCCTTCTTGGGGCTCTCTTGAGGGCCTCTTGGCCATCTTGGGGGGGCCTCCTGGGCCGTCTTCGGGTCTTTTTGGACCGTCTTGGGGCCCTCTTGGGGCCCTCTTGGGCTGTTTTGGGTCTTGGGGCGATATTGTGGGCATGTCGGGTTGGCAAGGCTGTCGGGAGCACGGAAAAGGGAGAACGCGGAAATCTGTAAAAAACCGACGGGAAATCAATGATGTTCGCTTCTTGGGGCTCCATTGGGGGTGCTTTTGGGAGCTCTATTGGAGCGGGCGCGTTGGTGGGCCTATTCCTCTCATTGCTGCTCTTCCCCACCCCCGCTCACTCATTATCGTCGTCAGCATCCTCATCCTGTCCACCCTGCTTTCTCGCCAATCTCCGCCCTCTGCGCCTTCCACCTCCTCCTTCACCCTCCCCCGCCATAAGTTCGCAGCTCCTCCCAGGCCTTCCTTGCACTCAACTCCTCCCCCTGCCCTCCTCGATGCCCACCTACGCGTCCTCCTCCGCCTCCTGCCCCTCCTGCTTGTCCCCGCCCGCCCTTCCCCATTCATTTTCGCATCATGTGCAAAATTCCTGCCGCCTTCCCGCCCGCCTCCTCTATGTATTTGCCCAATTCAAACCTGCATGCTTCCCCGCCGCGCGCGATGCTATTGCGCTCGATTCGATCGCACTCGTCGTCAGCGCGCGCATCGACGCCACAATTTCTAGCGCGCGCGGTCGAGAAAGTGAAGCAGCACATTCATGCAGCAATGGAAAAGTCGTCAGACTTGTGATGAAATTCTAGGGCGCGCCGTGTCTAACGAGGTGTCTAAATTCAGCGGGCCAATTTTGCTTCGACGCCGGACATGTCTAAATAGTGTCTAAATCGTGTCTAAATCAGAGCCGTGTTTAAATTCGTGTCTAAATATACCAGAACGTGTCTAAATCGTGTATACATTATGCGTATTCGTGTTTAAAATTCTGAAAAATGTCTAAATTCACATTCGTGTCTAAATTTGCTAACAAATGCGTTCAGAAAACATTGTAATTTACATCATACCGCGGCTTAGATTTAGACGCAGGCTTCAAGAATTTAGACTCGCAGAATGTGTAGGACCTCCCGCACGGGAGCGCCGACAATTTAGACACTCTCTCTTGTCTTCCAGGGCACCCCCGGGCACCCCCGGGCCCCCCCCCCGGGCACCCGGGCACGCGTGCAGGGAAAATCGGCAGCCAACCTCACCCCCGGGCACCCCAGGCACCCGGGCGTGCCGCGAAAATCGGCGGCCACGCTAACCGAACCATATGATACCGGAGAAAAACCCAATCGGGGGTCTATAGAGCTATAGGGCTATGGGGGTCTATAGAGCTATGGGGGTCTATAGAGCTATAGGGCTATAGAGTTGCAGGGCTATAAAGCTATATTGGGCTATTGGGCACCCGGGCACCCCCGGGCAACCCCGGGCACCGGGGCGTGCAGCGAAAATCGGCGGCCAACCTCACCCCGCGCACCCCCGGGCACCCGGGCACCCGGGCGGGCAGCGAAAATCGGCGGCCTCGCTAACCTAACCATATGAAGCCGCTATAGGACCCCTACAGAGGCAAGCTCTGATTGGGGAGTGAATCAGCCAGGACCCCTATACCGAGGCAAGCTCGGATTGGGGAATCTGGGAAAAGATGGGGCATCCTGCTATTTGTGTGTATTGATAGGCCCCCGACCCGAGAGGGCCTGGGGGGCCGCCCGCGGCCCCTCGAGGGGCCTGCCTGTCCGGTGCGGCGCCGCGGGCGCCCCATCGCAGTGGCCGCCGCAGCCTGCCGCGGGAGCCGCAGGCGGCCCGCCCGCGGGAGGAGCTCAGCGCGCATCCAGGGCGCCGCGGCGGAGGCGCAGGAACGTGAGACCTCGGGGGGGCTGCGCCCGCGGGGGGGGGGGGCCCTCCCCCTCCTCCGCCTCCTCCTTTTCCTCCTCCTCCTTCCTCCTCTCTCCCTCCACCTCCTGCCCCTCCTCCTTCTGTCCTCCTCCGCCTCCTCTCTCCTCCTCCTTCTCCCTCATCCTCCTCCTCCTCCTCCTCCTCCTCCTCCTCCTCCTCCTCCTCCTCCTCCTCCTCCTCGGTCACGAAGAGAGCACCACGGGAAGCCGTTCGCCATCTTCGGCCTCTCCGGGGCCGTCAGAGAGCGACTCGGGGCGGAAAGCTGGTCCCTGGGGATGGGTCGAGACGTCTCGGGTCCCAGGCCCCCAATGTCCTTATTTTTCCGCAACATCGACCCCAAAGGTCTGAACCCCTTCCCCTGGGACTGGCTTGTCATCCTGAATCGTTTTTTGACGGTCGTGAGACCCGAGAAGGGCCTCTGGGGGCCGAAAATACTGAAAAACCTCCCGTCGCGATTTCTTCACGACGCGAGGGGGCTGGGGTATGAAAGATCACGACGTCGAGGGTCTGGGGCGGGGGGTGGGCGCGCCAAGCTCGGGGGGGCCACAAAAGCAGCGAGGCTTCGGGCTGCGCGCAGACAGCCTCCCAAGACAGTCCGGGGGCTGGCCTCAACAGGCCCCCGAGGACCATGAGGGTGTAAAAATGCTTATGTAAGACCGTGTCGTGATAAGCACCGTGGTCTCAATTAAGCACCGCGGTCCTAAATAGAGGCGTGGTCCTTACTTAAGACCTCACGGGATTGGGGGGTCTTATTTGGCGGAGCGCGTGGACGCTTAAATCACACGGCGTTTGTGGCACAAGCGCAAGTTTGACCTTTCGGGTTTGTCTCGTAGTTGCCGATGTCGTTGTTGATTTCGCACTAGCTGTCGTCGTCGTCTCGCTCAGCGACCCGCAGGGCGATCCGCCCCGCTCAGCCTTGCGCCGATAGGACCGAACGCGCCGCCCGCGCGCGTCATCGCGCGGGGCTGGTGGAAGGGTGGCACTGTCAAGACGGGGTAGGATCGTGAAAGTGCGCGTCTAGCTCGGAACATTATGCTTATTCTTTGCACCGAGGAGCCGTCGTTTAAGTCAGGAGGCAGGGCGCGCGCATGCGCGCTGAAAAAACATGACGCGCAAGCTGAATTAGGGCCACCCGCGCGACACCTCCTCGACTCCGCGGCGCCCGCGCCCTGGCGGTCGCCCAGTGGGAGCCTCGCCAGGCGCGGCCTGTTCGACGCCGCCTGCTGCGGCGGCCTCCGGGGCCTCGCGCGCGCCCCTGCGGGTGCCCGCGGGCTGGCCGCGGCGGGCGCCAGGGCTGCCCCGGCCGCCGCGGCGCCCCCCCCGCCCCGCGCGCTCCTCCGCGGCGACCCCAGCGGGCGGCGCGGCGAGCGCGCCCATTGCGCGCGCCCGCGCGCCGCCGAGCGCGCCCCCACGGAATGCTGCGTCGCTTTCCTCTGGCGGCTCGGCGTCGCCGGATTGTAGGTCCCCCGTGCCGCCCTCGAGCCCGCCCCTTGCCCGGCGACGGTGCTGGCCATGTCGATGTTCGACCCGCTGTCGACCATCTGGCTGGTTCCAAAACGTCCGCTGTCGCAGGGCCACCTGACGGGGATCGCGGGCCGAGGATCATCAGCGTCGGGCCCCCCCGCAAAAAAAAAAAAAAAACAAAATCAGCGGCTCGCGCTAGCGGGCAGCGCCGTGGAAATGCCCCATCGGTCCCCGGCGAGGCATATGGGAGCAGAAAGCAATGCAAGTCGGCTCTCTTGGTCCCCCCTCCTCCACCGCCACCCTCGCCCTCGAGAAACATGTGGGAAGTAGGGTGGGGGGTCTCGAGAAAACCGACCGGCACTGTTTTTCCCCCGCCCGATATATGGAGCTGGACACCTGCCCGCTGTGCGGGAAGGGCGCCCGCGGCCGCGCGCTGCCGCGCCGCGTCGGCAGAGCGCGCGGGGGCCGCGGCCCCGGGGGGCGCCCCGACGGGGCGCCTCCCGGAGGAACCCTGGCGCGCTCGAGGGCCGAGCCGACGGGCGGCCTGAGTGCCCCGCGCCGGCCAGCGACGGGCCCCTCGCGCAGTCTCGGAACTCGACGGGGCGCCAGGGCTACCATGGGCGGGAGAGGGGGGGGGGGGGCGTCAGGGGTCGCGCGCGGTGGCGGCCGAATTCTGTCACATCGCATTCTGCAGGCGCGGATTTTGGGGAACGGCGCGCCGTCCTGCTGGCCGGGGAGGCCCGAGAGCTGCCGCAGGCTGCGGTGGCCCCCGTCGGCTGGGCCTTCCCCGACGGCGCCCGCTTGGGGGGCGCGCCTGCGAGCCCGATCCGCCGTCGGGGCCCGACGGCAGCGCGCGCGCTTGCCAGGCGACCTGCGCGCCCACCTCAGGGCCCCGAGTCCCGCGGCCGGGGAAGAGCGGCGCGCTGCCGACGTTGATGATGGCACCCGCCCAGGCTTTGCGCTCTCGTCACGGAAATTACACGGATGGGCGCGAGGACCCGCCTGGCGGCGCGGCCGCGGACGCGCGGGCCCAATCGGACCCCCGCGGGGTGCCCGCCCCCCTGCCCGCGTAATATCCACAAGCCCACCCCTGGGCGCGGGCGCTCCTGACTCTCGCTTGCCAGCTCCGTCTTCGCGCACTGGCGCCCGCGCCAGGAACTGCTGCCCACTCCTCCTGCTAACGGCCCAGGGCGACGGCGCGGTCGGCCGGGAACCGCGGTTGCCTCCCCTCTTCCCGCGGGCCACGGCGCGGGCTGACCCGCCCAGGGAGTCTTTCTGGGAGATCTGCGGCGCCCGCTCGCTCATCCAACCGCTCCGAGGTGTTGTTTTCGTGTTCGCCGACCGCACTGACGCTGCGCCGCGCTCTGGGCCCGTCGGACAATCGCGCGCGTCGTCGCGACGCAGGGAGCAGATCAAATCCACCCTCTCGAGGGACATGAGGCCCAGGGCGAACGCCGCTGCGCACGGCGTGCCGGCCACCAGCGCTCACTCGCCGAACGCGACAGGGAACTCATCCTGCGCCAGCGCAATGGCCGCGCCGCGAGCGCCGCGCCCCATGGCCCCAACCCTAAGACTTGAGTTTGGACTGGCGCACTGGGCTTGGGCCGACGCGGCGGGCGGCGGGGTGCTTTGACGGCACGAGCTTTCGGCGGCTGTTTTTTTCGGGCGTAGCCCGAATTCGTTTTTCGCGAAGTCCCCGCTTGAACTCGACGGGGCTGGACTGGATTGGACTGGACTCAACTGAACTGATTGGTCGGACTCGTTACGCGACGGTTTTATTCTCGGCCGCAGAGGGCGCAACCTATGCCGCAACAGTTAGGAGACGGCTTCCTTCTCGGCCGCAAAGGGCGCGACCGATGGCGCAACCGTTAGGCGGCTGTTTTTCTCGGCAGCAGAAGGCGCAACCCATGGCGCAACCGTTAGGAGAAGGCTTTCTTCTCGGCCACAGAAGGCGCAAACCATGGCGCAACCTTTAGGGGGCGGCTTTTATTATTGGTCGCTGAGGGCGCGACCTATGGCGCAACTGTTAGGAGACGGCGTTATTCTCGGCCGCAGGGGGTGCAACCCATGGCGCAACCGTTAGTAGGCGGCTTTCTTGTCGGCCGCAGAGAGCGCGACCTATGCGACCTACGGCGCAACCGTTAGGAGGCGGCTTTTATTCTCGGCCGCAGAGGGCGCGACCTGTGGCGCAAGCGTCAGGAGATGGTCTTATTTTCGGCCGCAAAAGCGTTATTTATGGCGCAACCGTCAGGAAATGGGTTTGTTCTCGGCCGCAGACGGCGCAAATTCTGGCGCAACCTGTTGAAAACGTTTTATGGTCGTCTGCCGAAGGCGCAACTGACGCCGCAACCGTTACACGAGGCGGTTGTGTTCTCGGCCGCAAGGGGTGTTATTTATGGCGCGACCGTCAGGAGACGGATTTATTCTCGGCCGCAGAGGGCGCACATTCTGGCGCAACCATTAGGACACGGCTTTCTTCTCGTCCGCCGAGGGCGCAACCTATGGCGCAACCGAAGGGGAAAGCTTGATTCTCGGCGATTGAAAGCGGAACGTATGGTGCAACCATTAGGAGGCGGCTGATATTCTCGGCGGATGAGGGCGCAACATATGTTAAGGTTCCCGCCTGCGCCGCCGACCCCTGAGGAGAATGCCGCGGACCCCGGAGAACAACTATGGAAGACAATGCCGCGGACCCCAGAGAACAATCATGGGGGGTCCGTGACCTTGTCCGGCGTTGAGCCGCTCTCATGAACCGCAAGCGGGCCGGCGAGGGCGAGGAGGACACAGGTGCCATGAGAAGGAGGATAAGCAAGAGGAAGAGGAGAAACGAGGACGAGGTCCTAGAAGAGGACGACGAGGAGGAGCTGGAGCAGGAGGAGGACGAGGAAGATGAAGAAGATGACGAGGAGGACAACGACGACGATGACGATAGGGAGTTGGACGGGGAGAAATACGAGTAGTTCGAGGACGATGTGTGGGCATTCGAATGCTTGCGGGGCTACGCCCGACGTATGCTCGCCGTTTGGGCTGGCGGCGGTGCCCAAGCGGCGAGCTGCCTTGTGACTTGTTCCCCGTTTCGTTCTTTAGTGTTTCGTTTACCCCCGCCGCGCCCGCGCCCCCCCCCCCCCCCCCGCGCACCTCCGTCTCAAGGGGCTATCGGGTGGCCAAGGAGGGATGGGGAAGTCCGAGGCCCTGCTATGCGCTGTGCTCCAGCGAGCGACAGGGTGCGTTGACGGCTGGAACTCTCGGCGGCTGTTCTTTGGTTCCCACCGCTGCGTGAAATGCACTGTTTTTGTTATGCCTTCGCCCCCTCTCGCCTTCCTCCGACGGGACCAGCGGGTGGCTAAAGAGAGATGGGGAAGTCCGAGGCCCTGCTGTTTGCTGGCTTGTTCCAGCGCGCAGCGGGGTGCGTTGGCGGCTTCAGCTCTCAGTGGCTGTTCTTTGGTTCCCACGCAAACGGGAAACGAACTAAGATGTTTGTTTGTTGTCGCCTGTTTTTCACATGTT